CCCCAAAACCCCAAAACCCCAAAACCCCAAAACCCCAATATCTGTAAATAAAGTTGAAATTTGGGCTTTATCTTAGCTGGTTCATCCTGGATAAATCTATTTTAGAGTACTTGACCTTATTATCCATTAGACCAAGGCCAGCCCTTTTATGGGCCCTTTCTTTGGATTTATGCGCCTTTTTAGGCTTGATGTTCTTCTGAGAGCCTGATTGGACTAGCTTGCTCATTTTGGAAATGCCTGCATACCCTTTTCTCAAGTTTTTGATTGCTAAAAATTAAGCTAGACTCGTACTGTCCATCTTCATCGGAATTCATGTTACTTTGGACTTGAGATTTCCCATCACCTTTGTGTTGTTCTTGATGATTTGGTTTTTATAAATATTACCAAAACTTGATTGACTCGCTGAGTTCTGCATCTTAATGTTTTTGTGGGAGTTTGAATGGCTTATACCACTTTTACCTAAATTCTGGATCTTCCTACAAAATAAGCTAATCAGAGTACGTTGGGTAGTGGTTTTCGTAGTTGTGAGAGACTTGTGCGGAGAGCCCAGTCAGAGATTCGAGGGCTCTCTCAGTTCTAGAGGTATTGGTATTTCCAGTATACCTTCCTTTTGATGCTCCCTTAGAAGTCCCTCTGGAGGCTCCAGTAATTCTTGAAGAAACACCTTGCATTTTTGATAAATTCCTTGACGTTTGTGGGCCTTTGATTTTACCAATAGCTGCATGAACCTTTTTCTTTTTATTCCTTGATATAGGATTCATCGTCTTCCTACCATCAATGGAAGATGTGAGCACGAAAGAACCATCCTTTTTGTTTGGAGTCATAATACTCTTTTTGCCAGTTGACATCATTCCTCCTAAAATAATAAGCAAAAGTTTTACATTCATTAAAACTTCCTTTTGGGAATTTTGAAGTATATTTTGATTGGTTCGAGGTCATGCCAATATACATCTGCTTGTTTCTTGACCTCTTCTTACATTTACTCTTAGCATGAGTCTTAGGCTTTGAGCCAAAACTTTTCTTCCCAGTGGGACCTTTGAAAGACCCAAAGTGCTTCTTAGCAATTGGATCATCTCGGCTTAGAAAGATATAGTTGTTATTACTATTATCTAAGGTCAAAGTGGCTGCCAAGTTATTTGAAGTCTTGTTCCGATTATGAGACCCATAAGTTGAGCTCTTGTGCATCTCACCATCTCCTCCAGTTTCAGGGATTATATGTCTCGCAAGGATGTTATCACAGTCAGGATAATATCCAATTTCTTTTGAATTTATGCCTTTATAATTTGCAGTTTGATTTAGTTTATCTTTCAAAGTACCGATATCAACATATTCTTGCTCTCTCTGTTGAGGCCCAATGATGAAGCCACTAGGACTATTGATCCGCAAGCTCTTTAAAGATTTATGCTTGTTGCCTTGCTTGAAGGATTTTGTATTAGCAACCTTCTGGATTCTTTGTTGGTTTCATTTACCTTCCTGAAATTGTCTTTGCAGCTCCTTAGGTTTCTTCTAAAGCTAAATAACTTAAACTCACTTGGTAGTTGACGTAGCTATCATTATTAATCCCTGTGTAAGGATTCCTTTGTGTTTTAACCATATGTTTAAAATCTTTCTTTGTTCTGAGATCAACTGTGTTTTGGAACTTAAAGTCATTATAACTCATCATCTGGGAGAATTCGTCATTTGGACCATAAAACTCTCCAATCTTTGTTGGACTATACTCCTTTATGTTCCTCTTCAAAGAGCTGATATCTAACGTAGCCATCCGGTCAATCTGATCTTTCTTCTCGCTAGGAATCAGCAGGTTGATTCATGAATTAGAATGCATTTTTGAGGCATTATTCATAGCATTTTTCTCTTTTATAGAACAAAATTCACCTTTAAGAGTGGATTTACCTCCAAAAGAGCTGTCAGGCTTTTTCTTAATCTTCTTCAGTTGTCCTGAGCTGTTTTTAGGGACCTTCTTTGATCTGGGTTTCTTAGGCTTATCAGGCTCATAACCCATACTTGTCTTCTTCATGCTCTTACGAAGCTTAGGCTGCTTGCTACTTTTCCTCGAGTGGGTCTCTTGCCTTGTGCAATACACAGGCTCTCCAAATTTTGCCCAGCTTGCTGATTTTTGGAGATTTTCCCTCTTTAACGCAGAATTATGAGAGTAATTACTTAAGAAATCTCCCATTTCCCTTTGAAGAATTTCTTCCCTTCGGTATGGATTTTCAGCATGAAAATCCTTCATTGACTTGTTTTTAATCATATTAGAACTAGGCCCTCGAGCTGAATTAGGCTTTCCTTGCATCATTTTTGGCCCTAAAAAATCAGAAGAAGAGCGATACCTGATATTATTTGACTAAGTGCATTAATGCTATGCTTTAGTGTCGATTGAGAACTAAACTCCGTTCCTCTCATCATCTCAAAATCATTGCTATTCATATGGGATCCAGCAAAAGTATTATTCCTACATAGCTCATATCCATTATGAGCAGCCTTGAGATTTGGCTTCTCTGGCACTCCTCTTGCTGATTTGATATTATTAACCTGAGATTGGGGTAGAATATGACTCTTTGAAGAAGCAGAGAGGTCAACGACTCTCGTTCTCACAGCTTCAGTTCAAGCGGGAGGTTTACTGAATCCTAACTTGTTTAAATTTTTCGAAGATTTCATCTTCCCTCTACTTTCCTGAGAATCATAATTATGAGATTGGCTCTTTTGGTTGAACTCTTCACTAGAATCACACTTCTTATAAGTTGCTTCATTTGGATCTGATTTGAGCTTCTCCTTCCTCACCTTAGATTTATTACTTCTCTCTTCTATTATCTGATGACTTATTGCTTCAGTATTCTTACTCGAGTGGGAGCTATTCCGCTTGGAAGATGTCCCACTAAAGTTATAGTAATGAAAAGCCTTTTCTTTCTTAGGCTTAGACATCTCCTCACTTGATTTTCTGGGGAAAGCATAAGTATGATTAAATCCGCTCTTTTTAAATCTAACTTTTATTTCTTCTTTAAAATCTTCAAGCTCAATCATGATTCTATCTATAGAGCTTCTTCGTCTGGATTCACAGGAGCGATATCTCAGTCTCTTTCTAATATGTTTTTGAGAATACCCAGGCCGTGTTCATGCAAATAGCCCTCCCTGACTTGAATCAGTCTCAAACTCAAATCTGTGGGATCTCTGAGGGTTATTTCAGGATTTTTCAGACCTAAAAATAATTAAAACTGCTCAAAGCATCAATAAAATAAGAATTTACCTTCTAGATTTAGTCTTCTCCCTCTCCTTCACATTTAGGCAGCTTGGTTCATTGTTATTTAGAATTTTTGAGGATTTGCTTAATGGCCTCGACTAAGACCTTATTTATCCTTGAACTCATTTTCCTCCTCTCCCATCATCTGGTTGGCAAGGGAGCTTATCATTGAAGAGTTGTACTCCCCAATAAAGGATGAATCATCGCTCTCCAACTTGTTTAATAATTGTGAGTCCGAACTGTTCTGGTATGTCTTAAAATTTCCTCTGTTATTATACTCTATTTCTGAAGTAAAGCTCCCGTGCTCTTCCTGCATAATTCAAATTTTTAATATTATTTAGTTTTAAATTCCATGGTTAGATAGCCAGTTGGGGTTTTGGGGTTTTGGGGTTTTGGGGTTTTGGGGTTTTGGGG